ACACAGAGGTCACTGTACACACAGAGGTCACTGTATACACAGAGGTCACTGTATACACAGAAGTCACTGTATACACAGAGGCGACTGTATACACAGAGGCGACTGTATACACAGAGGTGACTGTACACACAGAGGTCACTGTATACACAGAAGTCACTGTATACACAGAGGTCACTGTATACACAGAGGTCATTGTATACACAGAGGTCACTGTACACACAGAGGTCACTGTATACACACAGAGGTCACTGTACACACAGAGGTCACTGTATCCACAGAGGTCACTGTATACACAGAGGTCACTGTGTACACAGAGGTCACTGTATACACAGAGGTGACTGTACACACAGAGGTGACTGTATACACACAGAGGCGCCTGTATACACAGAGGTCACTGTATACACAGAGGTCACTGTATACACAGAGGTCACTATATATACAGAGGTTCGGGTTGAGTAAGCAACATGGAGAGAGAAGTATTTCATGAAGACCATGGTGGGATGGATGGTGGGGTGTCTCAGTGGGTAAAGGTGCTTACTGCCAAGCCTGATGACCTGAGTTCAATCCCCAGAACCCATACGGTGGAAGGAGAGACGGCTGGCATGTTGGACATCACAAACTGTTTCAAAATGGAGGAGGTGGCCAACTTATCATTGCTTTTGAGAGAAGTCGAGTTAAGAAGACAGACATCACTTAGATTTTGTAGGAGACCGCAGGGGGGAGTTGTTGGGTGATTTTGAAGGTGGTGGGGAAGCCAGTTGGAGTGGATTGAGGCGTGCATCAGACTAGGCAAACAGGAATAGAAAGCGTAGTGATGTGTGGTGGCTGGAGGTGTGTGATGTCAGGCAAGGATTTGTTTTTAATCACAGGGTATAGCTCTCAGACACTGACACACAAGTCCTGTGTGTACAGTTCTTCAGGAATCTCCCCTGTGTCTCCTCTAGTCTACAGTATCCCTAACTGTAATCCCATCCTGTCTCCTAAGAGCACAGATTAGCTCTGCCTGTTCATGTGCCTCGCATAAATAACGTCATTTAGAACATCATCTTTCTGTGTCTGGCTTCCTTTGCTTGGCATGTGCATGGGATTCACTCACGCCATGTGCAGCAAAGAGGAAGGTTTTCCTGCTGCGTGATAATTCTGCTCTGTCTCTGCCATCATTCATCCAACTGAGTTGCATTTCAGTTCATGCAAATGAACCTTGTGACCAGCCAGCAGTGTGTGGTGGTGTGTTCCCGCCATCCCAAAATGTGGGAGGCTGAGGCAGGAGGATTGAAAGTTTAAGATCATCCTAGACTACATAGTAAGGTCCTTTATCAAAAGGACAACGGTTTAGGAAAAGACAAAACAAAACAACTCTGGTTAGGAGCAATGGTTGCTCTTGCAGAGGACCAGGTTTATTTGTTTGTTGTTGTGTTTGTGTGTGCGTGCAGGAATGTAGTTACCCAGAATCCAGAAGAGAGTATCTAATCCCCTAGAGCTAGAGTTACAGGCAGTTGTGAGCAGCCCAACATAGATGCTGGGAACCTAATCCAGTCCTCTGCAAGAGCAGCTCACACTCTTAGATTTTGTGTGTATGTGTATGTTGGTGTGTGCACGTACATGGAGGCCAGAGTTCCACATTGGGTGTCTTCTGTTTCTCTCCACCTTATTCTTCGAGACAGGGTCCTGAACCTGGAGCTCACATGCTCTTCCAGACTTGCTGTCCTGCGCATCTCCTCAGCACTGCTCACAGGCATGCACTGTAGCGCCCCCCTCTCACGAGGGTGCTGAGGATGAAACCCAGGCTCTAACACTCACAGACACTTTAGCAGTGGACCCATCACCCCAGCCTCTATTTGTGTCTGTCTCTGTCTCTGTCTCTGTCTCTGTCTCTGTCTCTGTCTCTCTCTCTCTCTCTCTCTCTCTCTCTCTCTCTCTCGCTCTTGCTCTCGCTCTCTCGCTCTCTCGCTCTCACACTCACTCTCCCGTTCATGTTTACCTCACATGATTCTCCCAGTCTGTGAATTGTCTTGTTTTCTTACTGATGTCATTTGGCAACCAGATGTTTTCAATTCTTGAGCTAGACACACAACTCCGTGGTAGAGCCTCTGCCCAGCATGTTCCATCCTCAACTCGGAGGAAATAAGTCAGGGAGCGGAGTTATCACTTCCAGCAAGGTCCACTGTGTTCATTCTTCTGTGGTTAGGTTTCCAGTGCCTCACTTAAGCAATTTTCACTTACTCCAGTCAAAAAGATCTCTTCCCATGTTTTCTTTTATGTTGCTATGGGAACCTTGGCTTTCCCTTTTGTATTTAGGACTATGATCCACCTCGCAATAGTTTCTGTATTTGGATATAAGGTAGGGACCAATCTTTTTTGTTTTCTCTGTATGGCTCTTTAATTGATGAAACATTTATTTATTTGTTTATTCATTTATTTATTTGATTTAGTTATTATTTTATTTTCATGTGTATGAGTGTTTTGCCTGCATGTATGGTTGTCTACCAGCTGTGTGTAGTATCTGTAAAGGTCAGAAGAGGGCATCAGATCCCCTGGAACTGGAGTTAGAGGGGGTTGTGAGCCCCCATGTGGGTGCTGGGAGCTGAACCCAGCCCAGGTCCCCTGCAAGAGCGGTATGCGCTCTTAAGGCCCTAGCCATGTCTCCAGCCCACCTGCTCTCTTTAAGTGCCGTAGGCTCTTAGTTATCAATCAACTGACCACGCGCACACACGGCTCCTTCTCTGAGTCCTACCCCACCTGTGTGCCCTGGCACTTTTGTAAATCTTGGAATTTGACAGTTCCGAGGAAGAGGTGTGGTTTTTAACTGGCGATATTGGAGCTCTTGGGACCCTTTCCCTCCTACTGGGTTGCCTCGTCCAGCCTCGTCTTATTGTAACTTGTTATGTCGTGTTCATTTGATGACCCTGGGAGGCCTGCTCTTCTCTGAGGGGAACTGGAGGAGCAGTGGATCTGGAGAGAGGGGACGGGGTGCGGAGGGAGGTGGGAGGAGGGGAGGGAGGGGAGGCTGCAGCCAGGACACAAAGTATGAGAGAAGAGTAAAAAATGAACAGGCGAGCCGGGCCTGGTGGCGCACGCCTTTAACCCCAGCACTCAGGAGGCAGAGGCAGCGGAGCTCTGAGTTCGAGGCCAGCCTGGTGGACAGAGTTCCAGGACAGCCAGGACTGTCACATAGAGAAACCCTGTCTGGAAAAACCAAAGTAACAAACAAACAAACAAGTGAAAAGCCTGGCTGGAAAGTGACTTAGTGGGTGAAGGTATTTGCTGCCAAGCCTGAGAAACAAACTTAAATCCTAGGGGTGACTGAAAATTAATCTTTCACCTCCACAGGCACCCTGTGGTCTGCCCAGCTCCCCAGAATAAACTAACAAACAAACAAATGAATAAATGTGTTTTTTTGTTTTATAATTTAATTTAATTTTACATATCAGCCACAGATTCCCCTGTCCTCCCCCCCCTCCACTTTACCCCCAGCCCACCCCCCATTCCCATCTCCTCCAGGGCAAAGACTCCCCTGGGGATTCAGCTCAACCTGGTAGATTCAGTCCCGGCAGGTCCAGTCCCCTCCTCCCAGGCTGAGCGAAGTGTCCCTGAATAACCAAACCCCAGGTTCCAAACAGCCAGCACATGCACTGAGGACAGGTCCCGGTCCCACTGCCTGGGGGCCTCCCAAACAGTTCAAGCTAACTTATCTCACTAACAGTTCAGTCTCACTTATCCAGAGGGCCTGATCCAGTTGGGAGCTCCTCAGCCATTGGTTCATAGTTCATGTGTTTCTATGAGTTTGGCTATTTGTCCCTGTGCGTTTTCCAATCTTGGTCTCAACAATTCTTGCTCATACAATCCCTCCTCTTTCTCGCCAATTGGTCTCCTGGAGCTCCACTTGGGGCCTGGCCGTAGATCTCTGCATCTGCTTCCCTCAGTTATTGGATGAGATTTCTAGCATGAATAAATGTGTTTTTTAAGGCTGATGGGAAGGATTTAGTTGAGAGTGAAGGATTAAAAAAGTGAGGGGGAGCCAAGCAGAGTAGTGCCTGCTGCTCATCCTGGCAGAAGCAGGAGGAGCAGGTGGTCAAGGCTATCCTTGGCTACATAGTGAGTCTGATGCCAGCCTGAGCTACAGGAGACCTGCGTGAAAAAAGAAGGAGGTGGTAGAGATGAGGAGGAGGAGGAAAAAAGAAAGCTGAAGAAATCCTGTGCCTGTGGGAGTCTGTCAGACAGTGGGCACTGGGGAGCTGGGTCCAGGTGCTTGGGGAGGCCCTGACCTCATTTGCTAGATTCCCTTGTCACAGGTGTGCCGAGTGTGGTCTATCCAACCAGTGTCCCTGCTAAGTACCTGTGGCAGAGCCAGGACAAGTGAGGTCTCTGTTCTCCCTTTTAGTGGTGGGAGAGAGATAAAAAACGAACACACACACACACACACAACACACACACACTCACACACACACACACACGTCCAGGCCACACTGAATGTCACGAGGAGTGTGAGCGGGCCATTGTGATTGGGAGGGATGCGGGCAAGCTGTTCTGCCCAGCCTAAGGATGCCCTTCCTGAGTTATGCCAGTTAAGGGCAGAACTGTAAGAGATCAGCTTGTGGGAGTCAAGGAAAAAGCATTCTAGACAGAAGGGGGCACACACAGCCCAGAGGACCTGAGGCTGGTTTGTGGAACAAACAGGAAACCAGTGTGGGGTGTGGAGTAGGATGCGGGAGTCGAACCAGTTAAGTAAGAAGAGGGTGAGCAAATGACTTAAAAGTGACACCGACCAGCCCTGCCCGAGAGGCTTTCCCTCAGGCTCGGATCCTCTCTGCCTGTGAGTTGAGATTGTTACCTGCAGGGGTTCTGCTGATGTGCTGGGGACGACTTTGGTCTCCTCACTGAGTCAGCTCTCACACTTGCCCTCTCTCCCTTCAGCTTCCCGAATGATGCCAGCTCAATGCGCCCTGACCTCGATCCTGACTCTCCTGGGGATGCTCGGCACAGCCAGAGCAGGGCCTTTCTCTCCTCGGTCCAATATGACCCTCCCGGCCCCACGGCCCCCTCCCCAGCCAGGGGGCCCTTCTTCTCAGCTGTACGAGCACACTGTGGGAGGAGGGGAGAAGCAGGTGGTATTCACCCACCGCATTAACCTGCCGCCTTCAGCCGGCTGTGGCTGTCCGCCGGGCACTGAACCCCCAGTGCCTGCTGCCGAGGTGCAGGCCCTGAGGGTCCGGCTGGAGATCCTGGAGGAGCTGGTGAAGGGACTCAAGGAGCACTGCTCAGGAGGGTGCTGTCCCACGGCTGCGCAGGCTGGCACGGGTGAGCAGAGACGGGGGGCGTGGCAAAGAGGAAGGGAGAAGAGGATGGGGATGGGAGAGGCGTCTAGGCTGACCTAAAGGATCTTGGGATGAAGGAGAAAATGTGCCATCTCCTACTCCTTAGAGGTGAGGGGTGCAGTGAAGGGTGCGACTTGGAGACGGGAGATGACTAGAGTCAACCCAAACACTCCCAAGAGGGCATGTATGCTAAGCAACTAGGAGTAAAAATGGCCTTCTGAAACTAGACTGGCCACCGGCACTAATACCGGCTGGGTCTCGCTTCTCCTTCCTGCACCAGGCCAGACCGATGTGCGCAGCCTCTGCAGCCTCCATGGTGTCTTTGACCTGAGCCGCTGCGCCTGCTCCTGCGAGCCTGGCTGGGGTGGACCCACCTGCTCAGACCCTACAGACACTAAGACGCCCACCTCGTCCCCGGCTGGCCCAGCCCCCAGGACCTGTCCCGATGACTGCAACGACCAGGGTCGCTGCGTCGGAGGACGCTGCGTGTGCTTCCCCGGCTACAGCGGCCCCAGTTGTAGCTGGCCCGCTTGCCCCGGAGATTGTCAGGGGCGCGGGCGCTGCGTGCAGGGTGTGTGTGTGTGTCGCGCTGGCTTCTCGGGCCCCGACTGCAGCCAGCGCTCCTGCCCTCGCAACTGCAATCAGAGAGGACGCTGTGAGGAAGGGCGCTGCGTGTGTGACCCTGGCTACTCCGGTGAGGACTGTGGGGTGCGAAGCTGTCCCCGGGGCTGCAGCCTGAGGGGCCGATGTGAGAATGGACGCTGCGTGTGCAACCCAGGCTACTCCGGTGAGGACTGTGGGGTGCGGAACTGTCCCCGGGGCTGCAGCCAGAGGGGCCGCTGTGAGGACGGCCGCTGCGTGTGCGACCCTGGCTACAGTGGTGAAGACTGCAGCGTGCGCAGCTGCCCGTGGGACTGCGGCGAGGGAGGCCGCTGCGTGGACGGCCGCTGCGTGTGCTGGCCCGGGTACTCCGGCGAAGACTGTAGCACGCGGACGTGCCCGCGCGACTGCCGGGGCCGGGGCCGCTGCGAGGACGGGGAATGCATCTGTGACGCAGGCTACGGCGGCGACGACTGCGGCGTGCAGAGCTGCCCCGGGGACTGTAACCAAAGGGGCCACTGCGAGGACGGCCGCTGCGTGTGCTGGCCCGGGTATACAGGGGCGGACTGCAGCGCGCGCGCCTGCCCACGGGACTGCAGGGGCCGAGGGCGCTGCGAGGATGGCGTGTGCGTGTGCCACGCGGGCTACAGCGGCGAGGACTGCGGGGTGCGCAGCTGTCCCGGGGACTGTCGCGGCCGCGGGAGCTGCGAGAACGGCCGCTGCGTGTGCTGGCCCGGGTACACAGGCCGGGACTGTGGCACGCGCGCCTGCCCCGGTGACTGCCGCGGGCGCGGGCGCTGCGTGGACGGCCGCTGCGTGTGCAATCTGGGCTTCGCTGGCGAGGACTGCGGGAGCCGTCGGTGCCCCGGGGACTGCCGCGGCCACGGCCACTGCGAGGACGGTGTGTGCGTGTGTAACGCAGGCTACTCGGGCGAAGACTGCGGCACACGCAGCTGTCCCAGCGGCTGCAGGGGCCGCGGCCGGTGCCTGGACGGGCTCTGCGTGTGCGACGACGGCTACACGGGCGAGGACTGTGGCGTGAGACGGTGCCCTCGCGACTGCAGCCAGCAAGGCGTGTGCCAGGACGGCTTGTGCTTGTGCCACGCCGGCTACGCGGGCGAAGACTGCAGCATCCGCACCTGCCCGGCGGACTGCAACCGGCGCGGCCGCTGTGACGCCGGGCGCTGTGTGTGCGACCCGGGCTACACGGGCCCTGCCTGTGCCACGCGCACCTGCCCAGCGGATTGTCGTGGCCGTGGGCGCTGTGTGCAGGGAGTGTGCCTGTGCTACGCCGGCTATGGTGGTGAGGACTGTGGACAAGAAGAGCCTCCTGCCAGCGCCTGTCCCGGGGGCTGTGGGCCACGGGAACTGTGCCGCGCAGGCCAATGTGTGTGTGTCGAGGGCTTCCGAGGCCCAGACTGTGCCATCCAGACATGCCCAGGTGACTGTCGCGGCAGGGGAGAGTGTCTCCAGGGCAGATGCGTCTGTCAAGACGGCTATGCTGGCGACGACTGCGGGGAAGGTGAGCCAGGTGCCTCCTCCCACACACTGGGCCAGGGATAGGGATTCTGGCTTGCAGAGGCCTGAGGCCTAGGGGCCCAGAGGAGGAGCAGAGGGAGTTGTTCCTTGTAGAGGGGGAGGAGGGATCGGTCAGAAGGACCCCACAGTGGAACCACAAGCACATGCCAGTGGATGCTTAGATCAGACCTTCAGCTCTCTGAGCAAAGGGTTGTCTTTAAAGAGTTTTTATGTTCAGGACATGGGAGAAGTTGAGGGACACGCCCAAGTCTTTTGGGGCCTTTTCCAGTGTTCCCCAACCTGAGTTTGGGCAGTGGGAACAAAGATGTGTGACCCTGAGTGAGCCAGAAGCCATGGCTCTGCCCCCAGCTAATCAATCGGCTTTTCCTACTCTATTCCGGGCAGAGGTACCAGCCATCCAGAACATGAGGATGCATCTCCTGGAGGAGACGACAGTCCGGACGGAGTGGACCCGGGCTCCTGGTCCTGTGGATGCCTACGAAATCCAGTTTATCCCCATGGTGAGGGGAGGCCAGGGGGAGGTTGGTTGGGCAGCATAAGAGGGAGGGAGGGGGAGGTGGGGAGGGAGGGGGAGGTGGGGGGGGAAGGGGAGGGGGAGGGCTCACATCACGCAAGAAGTCACATGTCTGGGTCGGCTCTAAATGCCTTCTTACCCTGCCCCAGCCTGGCACAGGGTCCTCAACCCTGGCCCAGGGCAACCAGGGTATTGATGGTGACGGAGAACTCACTACTCCCGGCTGCTCAGTGCACAGTGGCCGTTGCTGTTAGTCTTTGTGGCTGAGTCCAAGTCGGCCCCCATTCTACATACACCCATTTGCATTGGCTGGGCACCAGCATCTGGGGTCCATGGTGGTCTCCTTGTGCCCCGTGCCCGGAGGGCTCAGCTGTCACCTCATCTCAGGCAGACCCTCCTCCTCTCCCTTCCTCCCCCATGCTTTGTTTCCAGATTTTCAATTTGTTATACTCTTTGTACATGCTTCCCAAGACGGGAGACAGACCCACGGCCCACTCTGGACCCACAGACAGTTCCTCGGGGTTGCTGACATTAACCTGCCGTCACACAAACTGTCAGTGGTTTTCATCCTGTTTGTTTAAGTATCTTTTCAGTGCAAATCTCAGAGGCCCAGAGCAAAACCTTTAGAAAGCACCGATAAGCACCCCAGGTGTGGCGGCGCACGCCTTTAGTCCCAGCACCCAGGAGGCAGAGGCAGGTGGATCTCAGGACCCAGGAGGCAGAGGCAGGTGGATCTCTGTGAGTTCCAGGCCAGCCTGGTCTACTAAAGTTAAGCTCCAAGACAGGCAAGGGTACACCAAGAAACCTTGTCTAGAAAAAAAGAAAAAGAAAAAAGAAAGAAATTATAGACAAGCAAGCAGAAAGGAAGGACAGAGCGAAGGGAGGAGAGGAAGGAAAGCTGGAAGGCAGCATTCGCTGCCCACCTCTCCAGTCTATATATAGGCTTCGCCCAGGCTCTGTTCAATGTTATCTTTACTGGTTTAGGCCAAGCTGTCTGGGCCGTCACAATAATTCTGAGTCCCTGAGCTTGTTTCCCAGCGCCTGTCAGTGCTTCTCCAAGCATTCTTTCTCCGCCTCTAACTTGTTCTTCAAACATTCGGGAGTGCAGTGAGGACAAAGCCTGAGGCCCCTCCTCGGGGACTGTTCTTTACACAGATTGGACTCGGGGTACATGGATACCTCCACTTCTCAGTCACCTGACCTTTCCCACATCATCCCACAAATGTTAGGCAAGGCCACACTTGTGTCCATCAGCCCAGGGAAAGCTCCAGACAAGCATACTCCCCAGCCCTAAAGCTTCAGAAGGCCCTGGGACGGAGAGGGACGGGCAAAGTGCTGGCCGTCATCCTCACCCCAGGGCAGGTCCCACAGGAAAGTCTGTATCCCAAGCACCAGTTCCTACACCGTGGCACAACCAAGATACCCCCCCTTCTTCTCTCTACATTTTTATATAAAAATAATTTAATCAGGAGACAAGAATTTGGCAACTAGAGAGGAGAAAAAACGATCGTTGGCCGCCTGACAGTTAAACAAGCCCGCTAACATTTTATAAAGTGTCTCTCCCACTCTCCTGCATGTGTACATTATTTACATAGCTCTAATCTGGAGGGTGGGACTTTTGGAAGGAATTTTCCTATGAACCTTCAGGATAAGGAGAAATAAAATAAACAGTTGAGATAAGAGAAGCCTTCAGGCTGTGTCGTCTCCTGCTCTAAACACACGCAGCCCCATCTTTGGGTGTTGTCGAGGGGTGCGGCTTTTGCTTGGCCTTTGTTCTGAGCAGGGTGGTGTAAGCTGGTCTGTACCAAGCCTGGCTCTCAGCCCTTCACCTCTGCTCTGGGCATGGGACCCTTCCAGGTCCTCTGTGAGGCTGTATGTGAGGGAGGGTCCTGTAAACTGGTCCCTCATCAGACACTGATTGTGCTCACCCCTCAGACATCTTTATTTGCTTTTTGTGGTGACTCTTGGACCCGAGCCTTCTGCTCTGGCCATGACCTGCCCATCAGCTGACATGGAGCCTGTCCTACAGCTCTCTGTCACCCACTCCATCTTCATCGCAGCCTGTCTCTTTCTTGTTCCTGGCAGCTTTTCCCCCCAGAAACACTTCTCTCTCTCTCAGAACCCGACCGCTATTCCCAGCCAAGTGCACACTCCATTTTCAGAACTCAGGACTTCCCTTCCTCCTGTGTGTGGGGACTGCCACTGTGACTCAGTGCTCCAGGACCTGGGTGTCGGTGTCACCAGGGGGCTTGCTGAAGTATTGTCACAGGAGTTGCCACCTCCATCTCAGGATCTGAGGGAGAGGTGTGGGGGTGTGGAGGTGTCAGGGACTCGTTGGGACAAAAGTTCTTCTCGTTCACACTCATGGCCTCCAGCCCTAGGACTGTCTCCTTTCTTCTACAAGGTGTGAGAGAGTGTGACCCGAGGATCCTGAACGCGTTCATTGGGCGTTCTTTTTTAAAGATTTATTTATTTATTATAGGTACAGTATGTATATGCCTACATATACACCTGCAAGTCAGAAGAGGGCATGGGGGGGGAGGGGAAAAAAGAGGGCATCAGATGGGTTGTGAGCTACCATGTGGTTGCTGGGAATTGAACTCAGGACCTCTGGAAGAGCAGCCTGTGCTCTTAACCACTGAGCCATCTCTCCAGCCCCTATTGGGCGTTCTTTGTCGGAGTGTTCTCTGCGGCCAGGGAACTGGGCTGTGTCCAGTGCTCACTGGGACACAGACCTGGGCCTCAGAAGACTTTTTCTTGGGTGTCCTGGAGTGAAAGGGGAGATGAGAGCTGGGTCCTCGGGGGGATCATCCAAGCTAGACTTTCCCTGTGGGACCCTGCGGAGGCTGAGACCGAGACTCGAGTTAAACAGTCACCAGGAACAAGCAACGAGGAGCCAAGCTTTGCCAGGGAGCAGTGCCAGCTGCCAACATCTGGCCAGAAAGCCTGCCTCAGACCCTCAAGACAGGGCTGGGCAGTGTGGGTGAGGCTGGCACGGGGACTTCCAGGGAGGAACCAAGAAAGAGGTTGATCCAAAGAAAGAAGAACTCAGGATGGGTTTGCTTTAGTGAAAGATCTCAACATTGGGGCATACACTAGAAGGAGAGACAGATTGGGGGGGGACTATGGGAAGTGGGAGGATGTCACATGTGCTGGGTGAAGGCCACCCCACGGCCCCGCAGAGTTGGAACTTAGGAGCAGGGCAGGCTTCTCTGCACCCAGGGGAACCTTTCCACCCAGCAAGGAGTGTCACAGCTTTAGTTCATCCTCACCCAAAAGCCTCCACGTGGCTTCTCATCTGGTTTTTTACTTTGGTATTTACTATGCTTTTTTGGTTTAGGACAGTTCCTTTCAAATTTTCCAGCCCCATTTGGCTGAATGGAGGTGTCCCTACCACGGCCAACATAGCTAAGCAGTACAGAGCGTCCTCAGCGGCTGTCCTTGCCGGGCAGCCCCACACAATGCAGGGCTGTTACAGTGCTCACAGAATCCAGCCTCCCCATGTCCCCAGCAGCCGGCACTCTGGGGGCCTGCAGGGTCACCCCACATAATCTCATGGCCTTAAACACACACCCGAAGGATAGTTGTTGTTGTTTTTTCTGGTGGATATTTACCACACATAGAGATTGGGGAGGGAGAGGTCTACATCTGGCTACTAAGCTGCGCCCAACCCCATGACAGGGATGGTATCTTATTTTTCTGAGTCTCCAACACACAGCATGGTGGCAGGTGTAAACAGTGTTCAGAAGTGTGCTATTAGACCTTCGAGCAGGTGGGTCTTTCTTTAATGGGTGTGTATGGATGCTGAAGAGACAGGAAAATGTCTAAAGGGCTGCCCAGTCACACACAGGCAGTGAGCGGTATCCCCAGGGCCAGCTAAGCAGATTCCGGGAGGGGGGTGGGCAGGACATCCCTGCTCTGCCTTGTCTGTTCTGAAAGAGCGTGTGTAGGAGTCACCAGGGAAACTGGAAGGGAACCTGGGTCAGGCAGAATTCTGGCAGACAAGCAGGGACTGCACACGGGAGGAGAGCCTGGGGACGGACACACTGCCAGAGCTCAAGCCTCTCCGCATTTTTATGTTTTTAAAGATTTATCACCGGGTGTGGTGGTGCACGCCTTTAATCCCAGCACCCAGGAGGCAGAGGCAGGCAGATCTCCATGAGCTTGAGGCCAGCCTGGGCTACAGAGTGAGTTCTAGATAGGACAGCCAGGGCTAGATCTAGATCCACCTGCCTCTGCCTCCCAAGCACTGGGATTAAAGGCCTGAGCCACCATGCCTTGGTCAGCCCAAGCTTTCTTAAGAAAATTATTTTGGGGGGCTGGAGAGGTGGCTTAGTGGTTAAGGGTACTGGCTGCTCTTCCAGATGATCCTGAGTTCAATTCCCAGCACCCACATGGTGGCTCACAACCATCTGTAGTGAGATCTGGCGCCCTCTTCTGGCCTGCAGGCACACGTGCAGGCAGAACACTGTATACATAACAAATGAATAAATCTTTTTAAAAAAAGAAAATTATTTTATGTATAATTATCTGTCTGTGTGTTTGTGTGTGGATATGTGCACACAAATGCAGGGACCTGAAGAGGTCGGAGGTGTTGGATCCCTTTGGAGCTAGAGTTAGATGTTGTAAGCTGCCCCGTGTGGTTGCTGGGAACGGAACTTAGATCCTGTGCAGGAGCAGCAAACCACCTCTCCAATCTCTCTGCCCTCCCGGTGTGCACCCTGCCAGGACACGGTCTTTCTAAGCCCGGAGTCCTCATCTGTCAAGCAGGATTGACAGAACCCTTCTCACAGATGGTGGAGTGAGCTGATGGACACAAACCACAGAGAGAAGTCACTGGCCAGGGCGAGGCTCCAGGCATCTTGCAGTCCCGTTCACGCTCCCCAGCTTGTATAGGGCCAAGTCCCACACTGTCCTGTGTCGCCACCATCTGGAACTGTTACAGAGGAGGGGCTGGGGAGCGAGGAAGAGAGCCCCATCCCGATGCGACTGGTACTCACTCTCTTGCAGACGGAGGGGACAAGTCCCCCATTCACAGCTCGGGTACCCAGCTCCGCCTCAGCCTATGACCAGAGAGGGCTGGCCCCTGGTCAGGACTACCAGGTCACTGTCCGTGCTCTACGAGGGACCAGCTGGGGTCCTCCTGCCTCTAAGACCATCACTACCAGTGAGAGCCGGGGCCGTGGGGGCAAGACATCTGGATTTGACAGGGGATCTGCTGGGGGCTGGGGGCTGCACCAGAGCAGAGTGGATTCCCTCCTGAGCCGTCTTCTGTCTCGCCCTGCTAGTGATCGATGGTCCTCAGGACCTCCGCGTGGTAGCTGTGACTCCAACCACACTGGATCTCAGCTGGCTGCGCCCCCAGGCTGAGGTGGACCGATTTGTGGTGTCCTATGTCAGTGCTGGCAACCAAAGGGTGCGGCTGGAAGTTCCCCCCGAGGCAGACAGGACTCAGCTAACCGACCTGATGCCAGGCGTGGAGTACGTGGTGACCGTCACCGCAGAGCGAGGCCGTGCAGTCAGCTACCCGGCGTCCATCAGGGCAAACACAGGTATGGCACTCGGGGTGTTAGGGAAGAGGCGGGTTTCCGAGGCTGGGAGCCCGCTCCTGGGGGCCCAGGCTGGAGGGTCACAGAACACCTGCTACAGCCCTGCCCTATTGATTCTAAAGGCCCTGGGGAGACAGCCCTTAGGTGCTTGCAGGGTAGACTGTGGGAGGGACTGCCCCTGGGAGGGAAGCAGTATACACAAGATGCGGCTCCCGGGAGGGTGGCTTTTGTCCTAACAGGGGTGGTGGACAGTTTGGTCTTGTGGAGACTAGAGCTAAGCAGGTCACAGGTCACCATCTTGCTGACTTTGGGACCGAGACTGCCTGGGCTTGGGTCTCTTAGCAGTCGTTGCCCACCAACCCTCAAGGTTTCTTAACAGATGCCCAGCCGGATCTTTCTTTTTCCTGGGACAAGGCGACGCCCTCTTCGGAGTAGCTTACATTTTCATCCCGCTTTCCCGTTCTCTCCATCAGATACACGCCCCGCCCCCTGGCTTCTTTTCCTTCTAGGGCACCAACAGTGGCAGGCTTGGCGGGCAAAGGGATGGGTGGGGCTCGGGGACACTAATTTCTCTTTCTAGGTGGGGCTGGGGCTCAGGGAAGAGGCCCCTCGCCCCTGGCTGGGGAGCGGGGGCTCCGCGGTGGCGAGGAGGAGCATCCGGTGGGGGAAGCTGACACTGACCTGATGTCCCCTCCCCCTCTCTCACTCGGCAGCACCAGGCCACTACGGTTACCCGGAGGTGCACCCCCCGGCCCCGCCCCCGAACCCCCGTCCCCGGCCTCCGCGGCCCTCCCGGCCCTTGCGGCCCACAGAGGGGAGCGCGGAGTGGCATCCCCGGCCCAGCCCGCCCCAGCCTCCCCGTCGGCCGTGGGGTAACCTGACGGCTGAACTGGGCCGCTTCCGCGGCACAGTACAGGACCTGGAGCGGCACCTGCGGGCCCACGGCTACCCACTGCGCGCCAACCAGACTTACACGTCGGTGGCGCGCTACATCCATGACTTCCTGAAGCGCCACCAGACAGCGGGTGCCCCGGCACCCAAGCCACGTCCCCCCCACCCCACCGCTAGTCCCACCCAGAGCGCCAGGAGGCGGGAATCGGACCAGGGAGACGTGGGCCCAGCCTCCGACGGCGCACACCTGGTGACTGCAGCGCGTCACCCGAAGCCTGAGGTGCTGGGCAGTGCCGCCGACGGCGCGCTGATCGTGTCCCTCGACGGGCTCCGGGGTCAGTTCGAGCGTGTGGTGTTGCGCTGGCGGCCACTGCCACCCGCCAAGGGCCCCAGCGGGGAGCTGACCGTGGACGGCTCAGAACGCACTGTCCGCTTGCCCAACCTCAGGCCTGGCACTACCTACCACGTGGAGGTCCATGGGGTGCGGGCAGGGCAGACTTCCAAGTCCTACGCCTTCATCACCACCACAGGTACTGTGGGCTGGGGCCCTGGACTGCCCACCCCCTGTCCAGCATCGCCTGCCTTCGAGGCTGCAGCTACCCACTCCTCCACTGACGGCTGAGGCCTCAACCCCCTCACCGCACCCTCCCACCTCCTAGCCTTCCCGGCCAGCTGTAGGACACTACCTCAGAAAGCTGCCCTCCCGTGTCCCCAAAGCCACCATATCCCCAGGTCCTGGCATTCTCCTGAGGAAAGCTAAAGCCGGGCTCCCCGGCTCCCACCTGGGTTCCCAAGCTCTCTGGCAATGTCTGCTATGGTCAGGCAGGTCCAACAATCTTGACATATTATCTGCAAGGCTCATACTTACACTTGAGTTTTCTTTTTTCTTTTATTGAAAAAAACAAAAGCTAAAACCTAAAACCACCATCTCATAATGTTTTTGGCAAGTTCATAGTTTTGGTAGAGCCGCACTCACGGCTGACCTGCAGATTGCACACCTCGGATGCAGGCTGCGGGAGACTCGGGCATTTGCAGAGATTTGCCCTGAGCTTTCGGTGGGTGGGATTGAAACCAGAGCTTCCCACTCTGACTCACTGTGGTGAGGGTGCCTGAAGCCTGTGGTCTGTGGTTATTCCCACACTTTGGCTTTGACCTTGAAGGGATGCAGTAGAACTGCTTGAGGGTGGCCTTGAAAGCCGTCGGGCAGCGTGTGTGGATAGTGGGGGTGTGGGGGGGGTGAAACCACGGCTTCCTGAACTGCTTTCCCAGGCGTGGCTCCCCTCCAGCTGGTCTCTCCCACAGGACTGATGCCTGGCCCAGGGACAGGGTGCTTTGCGGCTGCAGGGTGGGGGTGGACCTCTTCTTCCTCCATAGGGCCCAGATGCCACCGGAGCGGGACGTCCACCCTCACACCCTCTATTTTCTCTTACTGCCCACCACCCCCTTTCTTCCTAACACCACCACCCCTTCCTTTCTTCCAGGCTTCTCACTCCCGCACTAATGGAAGGCGGACGCCACCAGTGGGGAGGCCCGTGGGCAGGGAGGGATGGTGGGTTTTATGTCATTGCCTGCCCTAAGCCAGGCAGACTGCTCCAGAGGAGCTCCATGCGGGAATCTGGAGGGCTTGGCCAAGTATGGGAAGAAGTATTGATTGTCTCCTGAACCCCGACAGGGCTGAGGAGAGGGGAGGAAGCCTTCTAGATCGGAGGAGGCCGGAGGCCGAGGGCACACCTGGGGACCAGAGGTTCCGTTCCTGGTCTCACACTCTCTCCTGTTTTTCTCACCCGCTCTGCCCCTTCCCAGGGTCCTTACCCTCTGGCCTCCTGGAGGCTACTGATGAGCCTCCTCCCTCGGGCCCCTCTACGACCCAAGGGGCCCAGGCCCCTATCCTGATCCTGGAGCATCACCCGCTGGGAGAGTTGAAGGTGCTGGGCAGAGACAAGGCAGGACGCCTCCGTGTGGCCTGGACTGCCCAGCCCGACACCTTTGCCCACTTCCAGCTGCGCATGCAGGTGGCCGAGGGGCCTTGGGCACATGAAGAACTGCTACCAGGAGACGTCCACCAGGCTCTGGTGCCCCTGCCCCCTCCCGGGGCCCCCTACAAGCTAGTCCTCCATGGGATCACCCCTGGGGGCAAGCCCTCTGTTCCCATCACCTACCAAGGCATCATGGGTACATTCTGGACTGTACTCAGAGCAGTGTCCTGAGACTGGAGGGCGGGGGAAGCTGGGGCCATCTCAAGACTCTAGAGGAAGGACAGGATTCCAGGGGCCAGTGAAGGGCGGGTCTGACGGGATGAGAGAAAACAAAAGAGAGAAAAGGTTTGAGAGTTCATAGGGAAGGCAGCTAGGAGGGGCACCAGAGTGACAGGTCACCATTGGAGACAAGTCAGAAGTGGGTGGTGACCCATCCTGGAGCTGTAGTAGACCCTGCTCCATGTATGCCTCGCCTCCTGGTTGTCCCTCTGCCCTGCCCTGGGCTGTAGAGTTCAAGGTAGATGGAGCTCTGGTCCCAGCACTGGCCCTCAGCTCTACATTCTGGGGACAGCATCTGTGGTTGCATTGGCCATTTTCTTCTGGGGATAAAGTCTCGTGTGTGTGTGTGTGTGTGTGTGTGTGTGTGTGTGTGTGTGTGTGTGTGTGTGTGTGTATGTGTTAGGGATGTTCCACTGCCATCACGACTTCAGAGATAGGTGGGAAGGACAAGGCCCGGCAACCCTTATATGCCCCTGGTTCTCCCTCTGAGAACACAGTGGTTGACTCTGGGTCTGGTTCTAGAACAAGCTAATGACTGGGAGAGAGAGTGGTAAGGTACAGAGCAGCCCAGGGGCTTGGGGAGCCAGAAGGCTGCTCTGAAGCATCGGTGTGGAGACTAGAAACCCTCAAGCAATACTATGGGGGGCGTGAAACTCCCCTTAAAGTTTTAGAGTACAGGGGTGGGGACATAAAGAAGGGACAGAGACGTAGAAAAAACGTCTCCTTCCCAGGAGGGGCAGGGATGGAGGCATCCAGGACGAGGTGGGTGAGGCAGAGCAGAGGGAGGAGACAGGGGGAAGGGGAATGGTTGGTCCAGCATGCTTTGCCTTTGTCCCCAAATGCCAGACAAGGCTGAGGAGAAGCCTGGGAAGCTGCCTGTCCTGCCACGCCTGGGTGATCTGACGGTGACAGACCTGACCTCCGACTCCCTGCTCCTGCACTGGACTGTCCCAGAGGGGGAGTTCGACTCCTTCGTGATCCAGTACAAGGACAAAGATGGACCCCAGGTGATACCTGTGGAGGGACCCCAGCGCTCAGCACCCGTCACCTCCTTGGAACCCGGGCGCAAGTACAGATTTATTCTGTATGGGCTCATCGGCAAGAAGAGGCATGGCCCCCTGGTGGCTGAAGCTAAGATCTGTGAGTGGCAGCGGCACCCCAGCCTTGCACTTGGTACCATGCTGAAGCGGGTTGCCCCAGAGCCTTAGGGTTCGGAGAGACTGTGTATGGCCCGTAGCAGCGGTCCATAGCTGTGTTAATCCTCAAGGGAAAGCAGTAGGGGCAGCAGAGGTGAGGAGGGAGGTGAGGCAGAGGGTGTGGGGGGTGGTCTCCCAGAGAACCCCGCAGCACTCTTCTGGCTGGAGAGCAGGCCACGCGGGGTGCTGAAGGCTTAGTCCTGGGGTCCCATGTGCTGGGTGGGTAGCTTAGACCTCATTTGGGAGCCCTTCGGGACCTCTGAAGGCCTTTGAATGTGGGAGTGAAGTGATGAGCTACCTTACAAATAGCACAGTGTCTGCCGCAGGGGCATGACAGAGAAGGGAGTCAACAGCTGGTGAGGTGTGGTGACTGATGCTGGCCTAGAAAGGTGGCAGTCAGACCGGGTGTGACAGGCCAGTCCCAGGTCCCTGGACCAGCCACTTCCGTCCCCGGGCAGCAGCAGGTGGGGAGCAGGTGGGACACTCAGAGAAATACTTCCTGTGTGTTTCTGGAGCCAGTGAACTCAGCACATTCTTGAGGACCATGGGTCCTTACAGCAGCCTCGAGTGGCACTGATGAGGTGTCTGACTGAGACTAGGGGACCTCAGGGTTACACTGAGTCCTGGTAGCTGTGGGGAGCCTATGAGGGAGCAGAGGCAGAGAAGCACCAGGGGAGTGTCCCGGGTACTGGGAGGAGGGTGCGGGCAGTCAGAGCCCACAGGAGTGAGTTAGGACTCTCCAGCACCCACAGGACTTAGCAATGGCCAGGTCACCAGGAGCTGCCTGGGGGAGGGCACAGCTGGATTGGAGGTGATGGGGTACAGACATTTCTGGAATCCTCTGGGAACAGAGTGCAGAGAGGGGAGATGGAGAGGCCGGCCCTCAGAGAGTGGGCACAGCGAGGGGCAGAGGCGTGGCAGACAGCAGCAGGTGAGTGGATGCTCTTCCGCACTGATGCATCCCAGGGATGGCCTTCTCTCTTGACGGAGAAACCAGCTAGACGTTGAGTTGGAAGCATGGAGGCTGCCTCGGAGGTTTCCCTGGCTGCACAGATGTGAAAAGCGCTGGCTGGGCTCCCCCTCTCCTTTTGGAGCCTCTTCCCCTGGCTGGGAACAGTCAGTGCAGCACTCCGGGCATTAGGCTGTCTCGAAGACGTCACCCCTTCCTGTAATGGGGTGCAGCCCCAGGACGGAGCTCACAGCTCGGCAGAGCAGAGTGCTGGCTGGGCTTTAGCCCTGCCCGCTCTGTCTACAGAGAGCAGGCTGCACGGGACCTCCTTTCTCTTGTGACGCCCCTGTCTCTACCCCCTCTTCCTAGTGCCTCGGAGTGACCCCGACCCAGGATCTCCACCCCGCCTGGGAGAGCTGTGGGTAACCGACCCTACCCCGGATTCACTGCACCTCTCTTGGACTGTTCCTGAGGGCCAGTTTGACTCCTTCATGGTCCAGTACAGAGACAAGGCAGGACGGCCCCTCGTGGTGCCCGTGGAGGGGCCTGAGCGCTCAGTGGTGCTCTCCCCTCTGGACCCCAATCACAAGTACAGATTCACCCTGTTTGGGATTGCCAATAAGAAGCGGTACGGGCCCCTCACTGCTGATGGCACTACAGGTGAGTGGCTGCCACCTACGCTCATGTGCCCTCCTCTTGCTCGCTACACACTTACCCTCAGCCAGGAACCAGATGAGCCTCCCAGCAAAATGGCTGATCCCAACACCCTGGCCCGGCGCCCAGGCTGAGGGGCAGCCAGCTTCCCCTGAACAGCTAGGCCCCTTCCATCCTGTTCAACATGCTCCCTAAAGCCCAGGAGGTGTGTCATACTCTGGCTGTGCCCAACTTCCCAGGGTTTCAGCACTCACACTAACAGAGTCCCAAATCTGAACCCTGATCCCAGGCTGCTGGTTCCTGCACCTGGCTCATTCTTCTTGTTTACAGCCCCAGAGAGGGAAGAGGAGTCCTCTGAGAAGCCCCTCCTGGGGGAATTGACGGTGACTGGTGTGACCCCAGACTCCCTGCGCCTGTCCTGGTCCGTGGCCCAGGGCCCCTTCGACTCCTTCGTGATCCAGTACAAGGATGCACAGGGGCAGCCCCAGACTGTGCCCATTGCGGGGGATGAGAATGAGGTCACTGTCCCTGGCCTGGAGTCCAACAGGAAGTATAAGATGAACCTCTACGGGCTCCGTGGCAGGCAGCGTGTGGGGCCCGTGTCTGTAGTGGCCAAAACGGGTGAGTCAGAAACCCACACGTCTTCCCTTCACTGCTGGCCCGGGGCCTCCAGCAGGGCCTGCCCCAGCTCCACCTTCCACTTCTGCCGAGGCCTCGGCCCTGTTCCTCCCCAGCTGTTCTGTCCCCACTTCCCGGGGCTCCCTGCCCAGACTCCAGCTCCCAAGCTCATGTCCCCCACTCTGAGTAGCCAGACTCTCTTGTGCTCCACACCCTTCCCAGACACCTCTCCTTCAGCCGCAGTTCACAGCAGCTTCTTCTGGACTGCTTCGGGGCCTGACTCAGTTCCTGGCCGTCATTGCTGGGCTGGTGCCATCCACCCCTGAGCCTTCTCCACATGGCTGCTCTGTGCAAGGGTGGCAGACCCAGGGCACCAGGGTGCCATGCTGCCCCAGCCTCTTTCCACGTGAAAGGGCTCTTTTTTTTTGTTTTGTTTTGTTTTTTCAAGACAGGGTTTCTCTGTGTAGCTTTGCACCTTTCCTGGAACTCACTTGGTAGCCCAGGCTGGCCTCGAACTCACAGAGATCCACCTGCCTCTGCCTCCCGAGTGCTGGGATTAAAGGCGTGCGCCACCACCGCCCGGCTGGAAAGGACCTTTTCACCTCCACTCCCCAACTCCTAGTCAGACTGGTTCCAAGTCTATCCTGTTCCTCCATGTCCCCAGCCCCTCCCATCCAGCACTGCTGTCTTCCCCTGGTGCTACGCTAATAGGGAGCATGGGCTTTGGAGGCAGCTGCCTGTCCCTCACCATTGGCTTCATAAATCAATGTCCACAGAACCTTGGGCTAGCCGCTCAATCTCACGGTCCCCAGCTTCCTTTCTGCCAAGTGAGGGTCTTGATGGTGACACCCCATAAATGCCGTTAGTATATACAAGTTCAAGCAAGGCGTGGTGAGAGACACCTGTCATCACACCACCTTGAAGGCTGAGGCAGGAGGATTGTTGAGTCCCAAGATGGACTGGGCTGGTTGCACAGGCAGACCCTGCCTAAAAATGAATAAACAAATAAGAGCAATGGTTGACTCGGGCTCAGAACACATGTGTGCAAATCTGCTGAAGCAGAGACGCCTCTGCCTCCCCAGCACCCTCTTTTTGCTCCCGACCGCCCCACATGACACCATTATCACCGTTTGCCTCTAGTCTGCTCCCCCCTGCAACCTCTTCCTGTTCCTCATGTGCCCCCAGGGTCTCAGTCTCTCGGGGACCCTGCAGAGACCTACTGCAGGGGACAGAGGTGGGGCCCCTGGGTGGTACCCTAAGAGTTGTACATCTCAAGCCATCCGGGAGGAGCAGGACTCTTCCCAGGCCACCTACCTGATCCCCCCTTTCTTGCATTCTAGGCAGTGGCCCTGCCTCAGCAATGGGTTCCTCAGAGATTGGAGGGTCTGGTGTAGGGAGGGAGCAGGCTGCCTCAGAAGGGTGCTGATGCCAAGGCCACGGGAGCCCTAAGCCCTGAGTGGAGGAACATGCCTGCTGATGTGCTTTGGTATCCCCATCGACTGGCCAGTCACTGTTCATGCCATGATCCTGATCTCTTTCCTCAGCCCCACCACACATTGTGGACCAGCCCTCCGGCCCCCCAGAGCCCGGCACAGAGGCCCCAGAGCCCCTCGAGAAGCCACGCCTGGGGGAGCTGACTGTGACAGATGCCACCCCGGACTCCCTGAGCCTCTCCTGGACCATCCCCGAGGGACAGTTTGACCAATTCGTGATCCAGTACAAGAACGGGGATGGGCAGCCCAAGGTGGTGCGGGTGCCAGGGCACGAGGACCAGGTCACCATCCCCGGGCTGGAGCCAGACCACAAATACAAGATGAACCTGTATGGCATCCACAGTGGCCAGCGTATGGGCCCTGTGTCTGTTGTCGGGGTGACAGGTGAGTGGAGTGTGGGAGCCCAGGATGGGACCATCAGGAAGTAGAACCTACAGCTTTTTGGAGACTAGTGACTGGGGAATGGAAGCCAAGGGTTGGTCAGTCTCCCAGGTCTGCTTTGGCTGAAGCTATGGCCTGCTATTGTGTGCCCTGCCCCTGGGGCTGACAGGTCTCCCTGGGCAGCAGGGCCACAGAGGCCTTTGCTGTGCTGGTGGCTGTCCAGGGCCCCCCAGCTGACTCAGGAGCTTGGCCATGTTGGCCAGCTGTCAGATGATCAGGGCCACCAGGGGGACATCTTTGAACGGACATTGGGACCTCTCTGGTAGCCATAGCTTCTCCTCAAAAGCCAAGGACACCTGCTGGGGACCCTGCTCACCTCTGTGTCTCCTTCTCAGCTGCAGAGGAAGAGACCCACAGTCCCACAGAGGCCCCAGAGCCCCCTGAGGAGCCACTCCTGGGAGAGCTGACCGTGACAGGATCCTCCCCAGACTCCCTGAGCCTCTCCTGGACCGTCCCCCAGGGACAGTTTGACCAATTCGTGATCCAATACAAGAACGGGGATGGGCAGCCCAAGGTGGTGCGGGTGCCAGGGCACGAGGACCAGGTCACCATCCCTGGGCTGGAGCCAGACCACAAGTACAAGATGAACCTGTATGGCATCCACAGTGGCCAGCGTGTGGGCCCCGTGTCTGTTGTCGGGGTGACAGGT